TCCTCCTCCTCCTCCTCCTCCTCTCCATAAACTCCATTCCCTTCTAGCACTGATGATGTTCCCTAGTTGGGTCAAGAAAGGTCTCCAAGAAAACCACCAAGCTCAGAGAGCACCAAGGAGCCTACAACTCTTCTATTATTCCCCCTCCTCTCCATAAACTCCATTCCCTTCTAGCACTGATGATGTTCCCTAGTTGGGTCATGGAAGGTCTGCAAGAAAACCACCAAGCTGAGAGAGCACCAAGGAGCCTACAACTCTTCTATTATTCCTCCTCCTCTCCATAAACCCCATTCCCTTCTAGCACTGATGATGTTCCCTAGTTGGGTCAAGAAAGGTCTGCAAGAAAACCACCAAGCTCAGAGAGCACCAAGGAGCCTACAACTCTTCTATTATTCCTCCTCCTCTCCATAAACCCCATTCCCTTCTAGCACTGATGATGTTCCCTAGTTGGGTCAAGAAAGGTCTACAAGAAAACCACCAAGCTCGGATAGTACCAGGGACTCCCCCCTCCCCAGTTCAACCCTGAGCTGCAAATATTCTCCTTTATTGGCCTTTGACTCCTTGCCGCTCTTCCCCCTGGCTCCCACTTATGGGGATCTCCTCCTCCCCTTTACAGATGCTGATGCCTCAACCGAATCGGCGACTCCTGTGATCGTAATCCCTCCGCACAACTCAAGCGTCACCGCTGGGAGTAAGGAAGCCATCCTGGAGTGTCTGGCCAATGGCAGGTAAGGTAAACAGAGCCACCGACAAGCAGGAGCTTCTTGGGGAGAACAAGCGAAGCCTGAAACAGGAGAAAAGGACATTTCTTGCACGGGAAATTGAATTTTCCAGAAGGCAATGTAGATTTTGTTTCTCTCCCTCCTGCGTCCCCCCCCGCCACCAAAAAACATGTGCTCTTCTGAGGTAGACAGAAACATTGCAGAAATGTTTATATATGTGTGTTTGTGTGCGCACGCACGCATACACACACACACAGAAACATGTATGTACTGTATATATATAAACATTTCTGCATTTTTAAACTCTATCTACCTCAGAAAAACTCATATCAGTGTCTGTTTGTGTGTGTTTGTGTGTGTTGTGTGTGTGCGTGTGTGTGCGTGCATGCACATGCACACACGCACTCTCTCTCTCTCTCTCTCACACACACACACACCGATAACCCGGCGTTGCCTAGGTATTTTATTTACGTCCGGACCAAACGTAATTTCTAATGTTGGATTTGCCCCCTTACCAGAGGGAGCCCCCCGGTGGAGCACTGTGAAGCCGTTACCATGGCAACTCCACTGCGCTGTACAATAGAGGCCATTTTACAGCAGTACAGTAGAAGCCGTTTTCAGGCACAACAGGCTATATCTTAACAGAACACCACCACCACCACCCCCGAAGGGTTTTAGGAGTGTCTTACCCCCAACAGTATTCGTTTCCAGAGAGTAAGACATCTGGGTACCAAGTTTGGTTGAAATTGCTCAAGGCGTTCCAGAGTTATGCTGGAACATACAGACACAAACACACACTCACGCACCTTTCTTACACACACGCGCGCGCACACACACATACACGCAGGCTTGAGTGGTGTTCATTTTTACCCTAGCAGCAACCAGGAGGAAAAGCAAATAATTACATATATTATTTGTATAGAAACGACTGCAAAACACAAAAGCCCAGAGATTTACCTCATCTGGGCCACCATTTGTGACAATTGGCCAGAGTGCTAACAATTTTTAAAATCAATAACGACTTCTTCTTTTGTTCCACTTTGGGGGCGAAAATAAATGTTCGGGAAAGAAAAAAAAATCAAGGTATTGACCGCTGGGCAACAATTCAACTCCAAAATAGGTCTTAATAAAGAAACTGGGAACTGACCTGCTTTCCTTCTGGATAATTTGAATATTTGCCCTTGATTAAAGGAGGGAAAAAAGAATCCGAAATGCTTGGAGGGCCATCCGATTTCCCTTTTTTTTCCTCCGAAAGCAGAGATTCCAATTGTTTCAATTATTTATAATTGAATTATAATGGAAGCATCCCTCAATACAGATGTACCCCCTGAGTAGCATTTATTTTTACCATCCTTCCCTTAGGCAAAACAAACCATTAGCATGAAAAAGTAAAATTACCATTATAATTAAAACATGGTCGTTGGACGTCACTTGAGCCTGCCCTACTGGCGGATGACATAAAAGAGCAGCAGATGTTCAGAGGCTCCAGTGGACCCTTTGAACTTTCTCTGCATCTGCTTACTGAGATGCTACATCAGGCCGGTCCAGCCTTGGCAACTTTTAAGACCTCTGGGCTTCAACTCCCAGGGGAATTCTGGGTGTTGAAGTCCACAAGTCTTAAAAATTGCCAAGGTTGCACACCCCTGTGCTACATCATTCTTCTCTCTTGGGGAAGAGAGGAGTAGAGTAGAGTAGAGTAGAGTAGAGTAGAATAGAATAGAATAGAATAGAATAGAATAGAATAGAATAGAATAGAATAGNTATTATTATTATTATTATTATTATTGTTTTTCCAGAGCGTTATGTACATCAGCGGTCACCAAATGATGGACAACGGAACACTGGTGGTCCGTGAGAAAATTTTGGTGGTCTGCAGAAAAAGTATTTGCATTTTTTTGTATTGCACTAAATACTATTTATCTTTTAAAAAAATTCATATTAGTGGTCCGTGGGATTTAAAGTTATGAATTTAGTGGTCCCTGAGGTCCAAAAAGTTGGTGACCCCTGATGTAGACCATCCTTGCTGGATTGGAGAAATTAGTTGGAATTTCACCGCCCAAAGCTTTACATAACATAAGATCAGTTTTTCTAGAAGATTGTTCACTGTTCCATACTTTCCAATGAGGGTAAACACTCTGGATCCCTTCATTAAAACAGTATCTTACGGGATCTAGGATATTTGTCTTCTCTGGGGCAATCCCTATCCTCCCCTAGATACAAATTGTTGGATATAACTCCACAAGTCTGCAGGAAAGTGGAGAAGACCTGACTCCTCCCCTGGCTTTAGGGTCAGGTTGAGCCGAGTCTCCAATGTGGGTTTGCAGAAGATTTCAGTTCTGGTTGTCATTTTATTGTACGTTTAATGAGCTATCGTAGTTTGTATTAGCGTCAGATTTTTTTTCGTCTTTTTGTACACTGTCCAGGGACTCAAAATACGAGTTCAGCAGTTGTATGAATTCATAAATAAATATCATGGGGGAAAGGATGCGTGAGGAGATGATGACAGGGATTGATAAAAGGTTCCAAAACATGGCGCATGTAATAACAATGACTGCATCATCCTTGCTCAGCAATTACTGTATGTCTTCACTTGAGGAATGGGAAGAAAAAGAAAGCTTGATGAGAAAGACACGTTGCTTCAAGTTCAGAGCTTGCCATTAAATACTTCACAAATGAAAGTACCTGTATCACTTTCAATGTTGTTACCAAGATAACTGACTTCACTTTGTTAAGCCCACAAGATAATTGAAAAGCAAATACTGAAGCAGGTATTTATGAATACACATTTGGGGCTTCCAAGTCTGAATTTGAGGTAGCAACTTCAAAATCTGAATGACTACATTATAAAGGTAAATAATAAGCAGTCTGGCTTAGAAATAGATTTTTGATGCACATTAATCAATTTGAAAAGTAGAAATGGCCTCGATGACTGGATTCCGCCCCCCCTTAGTACTGTGATTCATAACATTTTAAAAGCTGAGTAAAAATGGAATTCTTTTTACTTTTTCAAGTTCTTTAGAATACATCGTTGTGTGTTTATCTACAAATCTTATAATCTTTTCTTGTAAAAGAGGTTTTAATAGTTGTAACCCTGCATATAAGTACAGTTAAGTGAATGTAGAAAAAAACAATTATGTATTTAGTTTACTTGGCTTATCTTTCCTAGATTCACAAAGTCTCACAGAGACAGATCAAAAATATTCTGGAATGAAGTATTTCAGGATCCATACAGAAGCAACTTGTGCATCCTCTCAATGGTGATTTACTGGTGAATCGTTCAGTCAGTGGTTTAGCTTGCGATACTATGCAAACCAAAACTGAACTTGAAGCAGGATATAAAGACGATTGACACTTTTGGATGCTGGTGCTGGAGACTATAACCCTGACAATATTATGGACAGCCAAGAAAACAAATGAACGAATCATAGAACACGTCAACCCGGAGTTCTCACTCAAGGCTCAAATTATGATATTTTGGACACATGATGAGAAAACTCAGTGATCAGAAGAAGTCGGTGAGTGCCGGGAAAGGCGGAAAGAAAGAGAAGAGGAGGATGGCCAGCAGAAAAGTGGATGGACTCAATTTTACAATGCACCATTGGATCAACCTGGAGATGTATGTATATGGTTGCTAAGAGTCAATCGTGACTTGATGTCACGTAATCCATTCATTGATACGAGTTCCACTGCAATGCAGCATGTTGTTGGTTTTGACAGGTAAATTAGATGCAAATCACAAGTAGATACGCTAATTCTACTTTATTGTAAAGCTACATTAACAGTATCTTGCAAGCTTCAAAATTTAAACCCCCCCCCCCAATCTCCTTTACAGCTTGAGAAAGTAGGGAGGGTCTCTTCTGAGTTCCTGGTCCTGCCCATCATCTAATCGTGGGCTACGCTGTCTCTTATCTGATCATTCTCTTGGCAGTGTCTCTTGGCCTACTCTCCCAAGGTCTTTCCCACATACCATTATATACATCTGGTTGAAAGAATCCATTCCATAGAGGCCAGCAGGCAAACAGTGGATATTCAGGACTATGTGTGATGATAGATGATGATACAAGTACACATGTCATAATTTAATGGACCAAACATCTCTACTGATAGGGGAGAATTTTAGAACATTTTGGTAAACATGCTCAGAAGTGTTAAGGAATCCGGCGACATCACTTGTCAAGATTTATTAGGATAATAAATACAACCAGCTTGCCAAGCTATTAAACATACTGTGATATATTGCTGTTCCAGAGTAAATTCTCATCAAAACAAAAGGGGAGTGTTTGCTATTTCTAGAAGCCAACAGATCTATTAATAATTTTACTCTGAATTTTGATTCAAGAAAATGAGGTCGCAGAAGAGAATAGCACAGTTACTTGAGAAAAAGACTGATGGCATTTACGGTTCCCTTTTCATGAAAAGAATTCAGTTTCAGAATTAGGTCTTCACCATTGTGGAAGAAGAAGCTTGAAAGCAGGTGAGTTGAAACTGCATGCTGCTCTTGAATATGTTCAGTAGTTCTTCCAGCAATCTGTAAATAAATATATATATATATTGACTGACTTGAAGAGTTTAGGTGCATTACAAGAACAATGAAGAGCCAATTTGTCAGGCACAAGCAACCAGAATTACTCTTAGGTTAAGTCAAGAGGCTTCCTTGTTATTGATTCCCGGGTTCACACTAATCTCACCAGACTGCCTGCTTTTCACGGGAAAGCCTGATATAGACCACAGTGTTTGATCTCACATGCTTCCTCCCACCTATGGAGTTTACGCTGGAATATCTTTTAACTTCCCCTACAGGGCTTCCTTCCTGTCAGCCACTGATTCTACCACACATAGTGGAGGCGGGAATGGAAGTAGTAGGAAGGGAAATAGATTCCTGAGAACTACAGAGCATTTTATCAGATACATGAAATGATACGCTGAGTTTAGACTATTTGTAAAATGGATCTGTGTTACTGTTAATAATATCCTCTCATGGTCTCTATTTTTTAAATTCGGTTTCCATGCAACCTGTTTTCTAATAAACCTGTTTTTTATCATGCAATCTCAGTAATTCAGAGTAATCCTCAAAGATTTCTGCCAAAATATTTAGCTTGTGTTTTTTCCCAAGATTTGAGAAATTGTTATCAATAAGATTACATATAGGCAGATCCATTAATTATAGGTGTGTATCCTTATGCTTTTTTATTTTGTTTCCTGAGGAATACACGTGCATTTATACAGATTGCATCCTGGTGAAATAAGATTCACAGCTTCAACAGCCTTTCATGTATTCAAAATAAACTGCAAATACAAAACATAATCGTTTGTATACAAATATTTTTAGCTGTTTCCTAATAATAAAAGATATTGATATTCTTAAGAATAATTTTACGTAGATTAATATATGGGGAGATAATTGCTCTTAGCTTTTAAGTGGAATTTGATGTTTCCTAAGAAATGGGCCATGTTGAACGCGGCAGAATTTATCCACATTAAGCATATATGACGGGTATCAAACTGGTGGCCCGCAGGCTGCATGCAGGCCACGCCCACTCCAGCTCCGCGAATGGGAAAAACGTCGTGAAACGTCACGTCATGGGAACATGATGCCGCGAGTTTGATACCCGTGATATATGAGGTTGCAAGCTTAGAGGTTAACATTGTTTTTAAGAGCAGGAACAACAAGAAAATTTAGATGGGTCATGTGACCTGAATTCACAATCTTAGTTAATGTTGCTTTATATACAAAATATATGACACTATCAAAATTGAATTGTTTTGTATGCCCTTTAGTTTAGTGTCTTGTTTTCCTTTTATTGTTTGCTTATTTCACTGGTTAAATCCAGCATTTAGGAAATATTCTGATAATCATAAATCATGATCAAAAGTTTTAGTGCCCCCGACAAAAATACGTGAACTAAAAAAAAAAAAGGAAGACTATTTAATCTTACATTAAAATGTTAAAAAATGTTTTAGGCAGTCATTGATTTCCTTTTTGAAAAAAAAAAGACCAATATTTAACAGCTGCAGTAAATTCCACAGCTATATAATCTGTACTAGATCTGTACTAAAGTTGATACAAGCATGTGAGCTTCTACTTTCTTAACACAATCCTGCAGGAATGAGCACAAATATAGCATTTACATATAGTCAATATTTCATAAGTCAGTCTTAAGTCTATTTTATTGCTAGCAACAGGTCTAAATCCTTCGAATTCATTATTAGAAATGCTGCCGTGTAATCAGTGTTGATCTTTCAGAAGTAGCAACAGCATATGTGTGTTTTAGCAGATAAATTGCCTTCTAGGAGAAAACTTATTTAACGTATCAATAACTCTTTGAAGCTCATTATTGAAGGAGTTGGAAGTAAATCAGATTCCAGCTTCTTCCAATGGTGACATGAAAATTTTGCTGTTTTGTTCAGTTTAGGGGGAAATGAACAAATAAGGGCTATTTTGGATGTTGATAATTCAAGAACACATTTTTTCTTGCTCTCCAGGGTCTTGCTGATGTTCCAAAAAGTCAGTCATTTGTAATCTTTGCAGAACTGTTATAATGATAAATCACGTTAAAAGTCCGTATCTACTGTGCGCGTGGAAAATGGTGTAATGGAAACATCACCACTAACACTGTATTTGCCATGCCTTGGATCAAAAATAGGTTTATCCGCAAGGAATGAATGATTCAACCGCTGTACTATTTGCAAAAGACACCTTCTAAATTATAAAGGATACCAACTTACTTTTTATCTGCACCACTTGAAAGCTGAGGCAAAGCTTCGAGAGCTTGCTTAAAGCTTGAGCTGTAAATTAAACAGATATTTCCCTTACACAAGTTGACCAAAATTATTCATTTCCAGTCTCTAAATGTTATTTAAGTGTGTGCCTTATATGTGTTTGCATTTGAAGCTAGACACGCAACCTGCAAATTGCTACCAAATACTTACCATTAAAATTAATACAAATTAAGAGCCACTTACAGGAATGATTTCTGGATAGCTTTCAGAGTTTTCATGTGCATAAGCACGCATAGACACAGATACATATTTGTACATACATACATACAATCATTTTATTCCACAGAATGTAAAGCTTTCATCATTCTGTTTTCAGTTTCATTTTGATTTTGCGATCTTATCTTGTCTTCTAAAACTTCCTTATGTGGCTATTTCTAAACCTTATCCTTTAATAAAGAGACAGTCTTTTTAATATGAGAATGGATGTTAAGTTATAGAGGTGTTGCTTTCATGTGACTTACTGCTCTCTCCTCACTGTGACAGAAAACAAACGGATTGCTTCTATTGAAATGTGTTTAATCTGTGCCGAACATCTGTGATATGCTTTCAAACTCATCTAGGAAGCCTCTATGCACAATGATGAGACTTAACCCTGAGCCAATAATTTAAGGACTATTCCAGTATAACAGCAATTGGTTAGAATAGGATGAATATTTCTTTTTGGAATGCTATTTACTCAGGAAGATGCGTAACTGCCTAAATAATGACTAAGATCCCGCTCAAGGATTTTTCCTAAGAAATATAGGCGGATCTGTGACACTAATGAATTTTCACTGGAAATAATAATTAAAAAAACCCTCTTAGGGAATATCCATTTATAACACACACTATTTCCCCCCTACTAGTTATAGATAGACATGAAATTTCGCTCAATTGATTTTCCATATACCATAAGGCTTCGCAATAGTCAAGAAAACACACTCTGAGAACAGAAAGAAAATGAACTGTCGGTTGTTACTCAGTGGTCATGATACCATTCATGAGAGCCAGTTTTGTGTCATGGCGAAGGTGCTGGGTTAAAAACCAGGAGACTGTGAGATTTGGGGCTTCCTTAGGAATGAAAGCTGGCTGAATGACTTATGGCCAGTCACTGTCTCGTCAACCCACCCCACCCCACACGATTGTTGTTGCAGGGAAAATAGAAAGCAGGACCATTAGGTGTGTTCGCTACTTTGAATTAAATACATTATTATTATTAGCAACAACAGAATTGTATCACGGCGGCCAGTTGTTTCGCCGGATTTGGCATTGGTTACTAGTCGGGCCCCACCCAGGGGCCTAGGACATTGTAACGTATTTTCGTAATATGCGTGCGGATCCAAGCAGTGCGGCTTTTTGCATTTGACTGATGGTGATTTTGTCAATTTTTAACTGTTTTAAATGTAATTCCAGTGCTTTTGGAATAGCACCCAGTGTGCCAATTACCACTGGAATTACTGTTATAATTATAATTATAAAATAATAATAATAATAATAATAATTATTATTATTATTATTATTATTAATCTGCGATCAGCCTGTTACTATTGTTATTACTCCTCCTCCCTGAATCAATGCTAATGGTCTTGCCCAGCTTTTTAACACACAGTTGTAATTTGGGTCTTTATCAACCTTCTTTGTCGCTGTCTCCCCACCCCCCAATTTGGGGTGCTGACCATGGGGGTGACGAACGCAACCCACCCGCAGTTTGACGTGAGTCCGTTTACGGATCCATTTCTCCCTGGGCTTGGAAGGCGTGAACACGGACACCTCTTTCCCATCCACTTCAAGGACGCTGCCGTTTTCGTGACGCATCACCTGAAAGACAAAACAAGAGTTTGCCCACGTTGAGGTGCCACGTCTGATGAACGGGCTCCCACCTTGGCATAACCC